ATGTAAGTTTTACCAAAAAAAAAAAAAAATAACAAAAACTAACAATAAACAAACCACACACATACACAACAAAGTGACCAGAAAAAGTGCCCTCAGGGCTAGTAGAACGCAGGTAATCAGGCAGGTGACTTTGGGAGGCTATGACCTTGGAGAGTGGAAGGATGAAGAATGAAGCATGGGTGAGTTATGCACCAGGCCTGGCTGGCCTGTTTGGAAGAAATGCAGGAAATAATAAATGAACAATGCTACAAAGGCCTCTACATTTAAAAAGATCCTTGGAAACTACTGTGTGCCACATTCTCCTTCAAAACCTGGTCTTTTTTAATTTTAATATATTTTATTGATTTTTTGCAAAGAGAAATAGACAGAAACATAGATGAGAGAGAAACATCAATCAGCTGCCTCCTGCACACCCCCCACCGGGGATGTGCCTGCAACCAAGGTACATGCCCTCAACCGGAATTGAACCCGTGACCTTCCAGTCCGCAGGCCGACGCTCTATCCACTGAGTCAAACCGGTTAGGGCCTGGCTTCTTTTTGTATGCTCCATATCAGCACAATTTACAATAGCTAAGATTTGGAAACAACCTAAGAGCCCATCAGCAGATGAGTAGATTAAAAAACTGTGGTATATCTACACAATGGTATACTATGCCACTATAAAAAAAAAAAAAAAGGAACTTTTACCATTTACAACAGCATGGATAGAACTGAAGAGCATTATGCTAAGTAAAATAAGCCAGTCAGAGAAAGATAAATATCACATGATCTCACTCATTTGTGGGATATAATGATCAACATAATTTGATGAAAAAGAACAGATCCAGAGACAAATGGCAGGGGAGGGGGGTTAGAGAGCAACCAAAGGACTTGTATGCATGCATTTAGGATAACCAAAATCAATCAACAAATAAAATTTTAGATCAATAAGAAGACAACTCAACTAAAATATGGGCAAAATTTTGAAGACACTAGGGTGGTGGGGGTGGGAATGACTGGCGGGGCGCGGGGGGAGGGGGTGAAGCAGGGAAAAGGAGACATATGTATGTAAAACTTTAGACAATAAGTTAAAAAAAAGTGCCTCCACTTAGAAAAGATTTCTTAGATATTACATTAAAAGCATGATCCAGCCTTGCCTGGTCTGGCTCAGTGCATAGAGCGTCAGCCTGCAGGTCTCAGGTTCGATTCCGGTCAAAGGCATGTACCTTGGTTGCGGGCATATACCCAATGGGGAGTGTGCAGGAGGCAGCTGATCGATGTTTCTCTCTCATCGATGTTTCTAACTCTCTATCCTTCTCCCTTCCCTTCTGTAAAAAATTAATAAAAAATATTTTTTTTAAAAAAGCATGGTCCATAAAAGAACATTGGTAAACTCCATCTCATCGAAATAATAAACACTTGCCCAGAGAAAGATATTTAAAAATGAAAAGACAGCCGAAGCCGGTTTGGCTCAATGGTAGAGCGTCGGTCTGCAGACTGAAAGGTCCCAGGTTCGATTCCGGTCAAGGGCATGTACATTGGTTGCGGGCACATCCCCGGTAGGGGGTGTGCAAGAGGCAGCTGGTCGATGTTTCTCTCTCATCGACGTTTCTACCTATCTCTCTCCCTTCCTCTCTGTAAAAAATCAATAAAAAATATATATATAAAAAAAATGAAAAGACAACTTGCAGACTAGGAAAAAATATTTGCAAATCATGTATCTGATAAAGGGCTTGAATCCAGAATACATAAAGAACTCTTAAAAGTCAATAAGAACCCCGCTGGGTAGCTCAGTTGGTTGGAGCATCATCCCGATACTCGAAGGTTGAGGGTTCAAACCCTGGGTCAGGGCACAAATAGGAGTCAACCGATGAATGCATAAATAAGTAGGACAATAAATTAATGCTGATCTCTTTCTCTTTCTCTCCCCAAAATCAATCAACAAATAAAATTTTAGATCAATAAGAAGGCAACTTAATTAAAATATGGGCAAAAATTTGAAGCCACTTGATCAAAAATATGAATAGCCAATGAAACCATGAAAAAATGTCCAATATCATTAGTTCTTAGGGACATGCAAATTAAAACCAAAATAAAATACCAGCATCACTTAGAATTGCTAAAATTAAAGACTGGCCACATCAGTGTTGGTGTGGATGGGGAGCAGCTGAAACTCATGTACTGCTGATAGGAATGCAAAATGGTGCAGCTTTCCCACCATATAGGACCCAGTCATTTCACTCCTAATTATACACCCAACAGGATGGAAGTATATGTCTCACAAAGATACATAATCAACCCAGCTGGCGTGGCTCAGTGGTTGAGCGTTGACCTATGAACCAAGAAGTCATGGTTCAATTCCCCGTCAGGGCACATGCTCAGGTTTTGGCTTGATCCCCAGCAGGGAGCATGCAGGAGGCAGCCAATCCATGATTCCCTCTCATCACTGATGTTTCCATCTCCCTCTCCTTCTCCCTTTCTCTCTGAAGTAAATAAAAATATATTTTTTAAAATATATATACATAACCTGCCGGGACCGGTTTGGCTCAATGAATGGAGTGTTGGCTTGGGGACTGAAAGGTCCCAGGTTCGATTCCGGTCAAGGGCATGTACCTTGGTTGCGGGCATATCCCCAGTAGGGGGTGTGCAAGAGGCAGCTGATCAATGACTCTCTCTCATCGATGTTTCTAACTCTCTATCTCTCTTCCTTCCTCTCTGTACAAAATCAATAAAATAATATATATATATATATACATGATTTGCAAATATTTTTTCCATAGATCAATAAGAAGGCAACTTAATATATTGATTATATTATATATATATATATATATATATATATATATCCAAATCTTCACAGCAACTTTATTTGTAATTACCAAATGAATAAACAAACTGTCCAACCATACAATGGTACACTATGCTGTAATGAAAAAGAACAAACTTCTGGTACTTGTAACAACTTAGATGAACTTCAAAAACATTTTAAGAGAAAGAAGCCAGTCACAAGAAGCCACGGATTGTACTATCCCGTTCTTGTAAATTTTCTAAAAAGGCAAAATTACAGAGAAAAAAACAACAGATCAGGGTGTGCCTTGGGCCGAGAGTGGGAGCGGGGTTCAGGGCTTGGATGGAACTCTCATTCGTGATGAAAGCATTCTGAAAAACTGGCTTGTGTTAACGGATGCATACTCATAATTTATAAATTTACTTTTATTGAATTTATTGGGATAACACTGGTTAATAAAATTATATAGGTTTCAGGTGTACAATTCTACAATACACCATCTCTATATTGTATTGTGTGTTCATCACCCCAAGTCAAGTCTCCTTCCATCACCACTTATCCCCCCCTGGTAAATTTATCGACAGTCAATGAACTGCTCAGCTAAAATGAGTGAACAGTATTGTATGCAATTAATTATGCCTCACCCAGGTTATCCCACCCCAGGGCCCAAGGCAGGGACCTGGGTTCACCGTCCCCTCTTATCTTCTGACATGCCACCTCACGCCTGGTCACCACACCCTGCCCAGGTTACCCGCTGAGTGTCTTTCCAAACCCTCTGAATCTCTCTTGCTCCCTGCTGGAGGCCTCCAGAGCCCAACTCATGCATCTGGGCCAACAGGCCTTTCAGGCCAGCACCACCCCAGGTCCCCACACCACAGCACACAAGTTCTGACCAACTTCATCATTCATCCCGTTGACTGAAATGATTGCTCCCATAAGCTTTCCAGGGAGAAAGAGCCCTGATTGTGTACTCGGTCAGCCAAGAGTGGCAGGCTGTCCGAAGGGGCTGGGCTGGGCTACAGGGGCCATGTGCAATGTAAAGGGGAAGGGGGGAGGGGGGGTTGTGCTCCCTGAGGCCGGTGTTCTTCCCCTCTGAAAACCCAGAACAACACATGTAAACATCAAGTTTTTTTGTTTTGTTTTTTTTTGTTTTTTAAATATATTTTATTGATTTTTTACAGAGAGGAAGGGAGAGAGATAGAGAGCTAGAAACGTCGATGAGAGAGAAACACCGAACAGCTGCCTCTTGCACACCCCCTACCGGGGATGTGCCTGCAACCAACATACATGCCCCTGACCGGAATCGAACCTGCGACCTTTCAGTCCGCAGACCGACGCTCTACCACTGACCCAAACCGGTTTCGGCTAAACATCAAGTTTTACACCAATTCTGGGGTTCAAGCAACCAGTCTCAGGACCTAGCCAAAAGAAAAGGGGACTTCCCTGTTACCAAAAGGGGTGAATCCTGTCCCCTTAGTCTGAGGGCAAGACCTAGCTTCAAGTCCTTTAGGGGGGGTGGGGGAGTATATTTGAACCCCATAGGTTGGAAAAGATGGATCTTCCTTGTTTTCTTTAGACCTTCAGGAATCTCTCACCATCCTCAGGCTCCCCAAGACCTACTCTGGCCCCTCAAGACCCCTATCCCCGTCCCTGCCCATCAAGACTCACTGGGACCCCCAGCCCCCAGGACCCCACAGCCGCCCCTGTCAGGTTCTTCCAGGCCTCTCAGGCCTCTTTCAGGTCCTCAGGTTCACTTGAGCCTCTTAACCCCAGCCTTCCACAGTCCTCACTCACCCCAGGTCCCCTCGGCATGCCCTCAGGGCCACCTTAGAACACTGGGGTCCTTCAGCACCCTCTGGAAAAGCTTGGGCCTCCGTCCCTGCAAGCTCCCTTCAGTCCCCTCCTCAGAGTCCGGAAAACAGCACCAACAACGTCAAGACTGCCCACTGCCCCCCAAACCCCTTGGCATTCCAAGTTCCCAGTCAGGAGCCCCTAGGTGTCCCTTCAGACCTCCAAGCCCCCCAATGTCCCCTCTGGCTCCCGGAGCAACACGTAGACCTCTCGAGGTCCGGGGCTCGCAGCCCTCCTTCAGGTGGCCCCTCAGCCGCCCCCAAAGCCTGCGGTCCCCCCGGAAGGAACCTCGGGCAGCCCAGGACACTTGCAAGCCCCGGGACGCCCCACAGGTCACCGGAGCCGTGGGGCAGCGGCAGGCCCGCTGCGGGCCGGGTCTCACCTGCTTGGGCGCTCGGGGCCCGGGCCTGCACCGAAGCCAACGCCACCGCTGCCGCCGCCACCGCCACCGGACTCCGCCATCTTACCGCCGCGCGTTCGAGTGACGGGGAGCCGCGCGCCCGTCCAGAAAACGGAGACTTGGGGATCAGGGGGCGGGGCATGCTCCGCGAGGGCAGGACCTGAGCGGTAAAAGGGGCCAGGGGGCGTGGTCCCGTGTGAGGGGCGTGGTCTGAGGGTGGGCGGGGCTTCGAGAGCAGAAGGCCCGCACTCCTGAGTAGGGGAGAGGCGGGGCCTGTGGTGAGGGGCGTGGTCTCCAGTGAGGGGCGGGGTCTGGGGTGAGCGGGGGCGGCCAGGGCAGAAGGCCCGCGCTCCTGAGTAGCAGAGGGGCGGGGCCTTGGCGAGGGGCGTGGTCTTGGGGACGAGGGGCAAGGCTCAGTCTACAGAGGGGCGGGGCCTGGTCTGGGAAGGTCTGAGCCTAAAAGACAGTTGCAGGGTGTGGGGGATAAAGGCGTGGCGATTGGCGAAGGTGGGGCCGGAGAGAAGCGGTGGAGGGGGGCTGTCGGGACCGTGAGGTGCAGCAGGTCTGGGGCAGGGTCTGCTACGAAAAGGGCAAGGAATGGAGCCTAACGGGAGGTGGGGCTTGGGAAACTGGTCCCTGAGCTCTGAAAACCACCCATCCCCTCCCAGAGTCACTCCCTCTCCAAGACCTCCCTCAAACGCGGGAACTCTCACCCTGTGCCCAGGCGTCGAACTTCCAGTCCATGTTTGAGCCAATAGGGACTCCTTCGTAAAGCTCCCGGAGCTTTTGAGGGCACCTCTACTCCCACCCCTTGGAAAGCCTAGAACTCCGCCCTGGCAGGGTTCAGACTCCCAAGATCCTCTCTACCCTTAAGCCCATTTATTCTTTCACCCACTGAGTCGGAAAACCATCTTTTGTGCAGTGAGCAAGATTCAGGAGTCCAGATGGGGACTTAGAGCCCTCCCTGCAGTCAGCGCTCAGAGAAGAGGGTGGACATGGACTGGAGACTCCAGAGGAGAAAGCAAGGGGCCCCTTGAGTAGATTGAACCTACTGTAGGTAGGACCAGACCCAACTAATCCAAGTCCAACAGAGGGTCAAGTATATAATAGGTGTTCAATCGATCGTTTGTGTAAAACGCTCAGGAATTGACACTTCAAGTTGACAGATACCAGGTGCTGAAGGGCCCTGCTGACCTCTCCAGCACACAATAAGTGCTTAATCAATGTTGAATGTGTGCGTGCATGAGCAACATGCATTGCCAGCAAGCTCTGCACACACACGCACACACTCTCTCCTGCCTGTGGTCGGCGGCCACTCAAGCCTTTGTTCCAGATGAACCACATGCAGGCATCAAACCCTACTCAGCTGAGACCTACAGCTCACACACCCGCCAAACATACGGCTGCAGTCAATGGCATCCATATGCACACACACTTCATAAACACCCAGATTCAACCCACATGTCAGACAGACAGCCCAAGATCGCTGGGCCCCTGGCTGTGTGCACATGCATAGCATGCTGCAGACGCACAGTGCTGTGGTCACACTAGGTACTCCAAGAGTGGGTGTCACAGGACAGCCAGCACAAAGAACCTGAGGCAGGGTGCACCTGGAGTGCTGCCCCGCAGGGAAGGGTGGAAGGGAGGGGTGCTGTAGGTCACGGAAAGCGCGTGGATCACCGTGGAGGCGTTTTCCTACATAAAATGAGGAGGGGGCTTGTCAGCAGAGGAGATTTAACCAACATGACAGGAGTGGGCAGTATCTTGAATAAGGGACAATACTTAGGAGTGTTCTAGGACAAATTATAGGATTTGTCCCCGGGTAATGGCAGAGAAGGGCTGGAAGGTGGTCCAAGCCAGGAGGTACTTTGCAGATGGTGCCAATAGGAGATGTGGGGTGAGGCAGAGGAGTCCAGGGTTCTTGGCCTAGCCCAACTGCCTGCCACACCTGAGATGGGGCACAGGAAGGTAGGGAACCTGGAGATACACCAAAGGTTATTGCACAGCCTCGTCCAATAATGATGACCTGTGGTCTGGCAGACCTCACAAGCAGGGACACAGCAAACCATATCCTGAGGCCTAGTCACCATCTGGCCCACAGCTGACATGGCTCGCTCAGAGGCAGGGACCTTGCCATCTGCTCCCCTGCTTTGGATCTGCTGTGGGACTCACGGTCCCAGGTCAGAGCTCAGAAGCCTTCTAGTAACCCTTAGGTGTTACAGAGGAGGCAACTGACGTATGGGGGATAGGGAATGCTTTATTTCCTACAACCTCATGCTGGGGCCTCCTCCACCTATCTTCCCTTCACCACTGAGTGGCCTTGGAGCGAGCTGTAAGCTCCCAGTGATGAGTTTTGCTTCTCTATAAACTAGACAGCTCATCCTGGCTGGTGTTATTCAGTGGTTAGAGCATAGGGTCACAGGTTCAATTCCCAGTCAAGGGCATATGCCTGGGTTGCAGGTTCATACCCAACCCAGTCAGTCTGGGCTTGTGCAGGAGGCAACTAATCAATTGATGTCTCTCTCTCCCTCCCTTCCTCCCTTCCTCCCTCCCTTTCACTCGCGCTGGAAATCAATGGAAAAAATACCCTCAGGTGAGGATTAACCAAAATACAAAAAAATAATAAATAAACTAGACAGGTCAACATCTGATGAATACTCACTATTATCACCCTGAGTTCTGCATCCACTTCATATAAAATTGATTTTTTACAGAGAGGAAGGGAGAGGGATAGAGAGTTAGAAATATCGATGACAGAGAAACATCGACCAGCTGTCTCCTGCACACCCCCTACTGGGGATGTGCCCGCAACCAAGGTACATGCCCTTGACTGGAATCGAACCTAAGACCTTTCAGTCCACAGACCAATGCTCTATCCACTGAGCCAAGCCAGTTTCGGCCGCATCCACTTCTTATGAGCCATGAGGCTTGGACAGGTTGCTCTAGCTATTTTTTTTAACTTTTAAATATATTTTCTTATTGATTTCAGAGACAGGAAGAGAAAGAGAGAGAGAGAAACATCAATGATGAGAAAGAATCATCAATTGCTGCCTTCTGCATGATCCTTATTGGGGATCGAGCCCTGACATCCTTGTTCATGGGTTGACATTCAACCACTTAGCCATACCATCCAGGACAGCTTTCCCATCTTTAAAATGACCCTGAAGGGCAGAGCACAGAGACCAGGATGAAATAAACAATATACTGTGCTCAGAGCAGCTCAATTAGTAGCCTAAGTCCATGCCAGCTGATGGTACTTCCCCTCTCCCACACCCACTCTCTACCCCGGACCCCCAGCACTACTTGACTTTTCTATCTAACAAAGTCTGTATTTTAGTTTTCCTTTTTTAAAATTGAGATATAATTATCATACCATAAAATTTACCATGTTAGCCCTAGCTGGTTTGGCTCAGTGGATAGAGCATCTGTCTGCGAACTGAAGGGTCCTGGGTTTGATTCCGGCTGGGGGCACATGCCAGGTTGTGGGCTTGGACCCTAGTGCAGGGTGTGAGGGAGGCAGTCATTCGGGTGATTCTCTCTCAACATGAATGTTTCTATCTCTCTTCCTTCCTCTCTGAAATCAGTAAAGAAATATATTTTTAGAAATTTTGCCATTTTAAAGTACACAATTCAATGGCATTTATTGCATTTGTGATGTCATGCAACCATCACTTCTCTCTAGTTTTAAAACACTTCTATCATCCCCAGAGGAGGTCCTGTCCCCAGTAGCACTCACTCTCCATTTCTACTCCCTGGTCCCTAGTAACTAGTAATCCGTTTTCTGTCCCTATGGGCTTACCAATTCTGGCTTATTTTATTCAGCATAATATTTATGAGGTTCATTCACGTTGTAGCGTGTGTCAGTGCTTCACTCCTTTTCATAACTAATATTCCATTTCATCTATTCATTCACCCATTGATGGACATGTGGATTGGCCCCAGACTGAGTGGGGCGGCTATTATGAATAGTGTGCTGTGAACATGTGTGCACATGTATTTGTTTAAACGCACAATTTCAATTCTCTGGGGGTATATGTCAATTTTATAGATAAGGAAACTGAGGCTGGGAGGGTATGAGTCAGCATTCAAGAATGAGGATCTGGCCGAAACCGATTTGGTTCAGTGGATAGAGCATTGGTCTGTGGACTGAAAGGTCCCAGGTTCAATTCCGGTCAAGGGCATATACCTTGGCTGCAGGCACATCCCTAGTAGGGGGTGTGCAGGAGGCAGCTGGTTGATGATTCTCTCACTGATGTTTCTAACTCTATCCCTCTCCCTTCCTCTCTGTAAAAAAATCAATAAATATATATATTTTTAAAAAGACTGTGGGTCTCGTCTGAGGCTGGCCTCTGCCAGATACGTGTGGCCTTGGGCCTGGAGGGCTACCATAGACCCCTGGCTCAGAGGAAGAGACCCTGGAGGCCCTAAAGGCCCTCTTGCACTTGGTCCATATCAGCCCTTACGTTATTAATAGTGTAGCGATGGGGACTGCTGAGACTCCTCTCCTCACTCAAAGCCCACTCTCCCTGTAATAAATCATGGGGACCTGCTTTGCCCACCTCGCACAAGGTCCTCCCAGCTTTGGCTCATCTCCAGGCAGTAATCCTGACTCTGGCTGGCTGTGGACTGTCATCTTCCCCCAACACCCCAACTGAGGTGGGCGTCCCCAAGAGTGGCTTCTGATGCAGCCTCCCAAACAGCCCACTCCCTAAGGGCCCAGAGCCCAAGCCCTTGCTGTGTGGCTGCAGGAACCCTTTACCCTCTGCATTCTTCACAATCCAGGAAGGAATGCAGAACTGGCGATTCTTTTCTCAGGGCCAATTAGCGGCCCACGGTGCACATGCTGTGGATTTTTGAGTATCTGGCTCAGAGCCTTTTTGGAGGAAGGGAGACTAATTCTTCCTGAGGGGAGGATTAAGTTCATTCCCATTTTAGAGACGTGGAAACTGAGACCCAGAGAATCTAAGAGTCAGGAGTCACAATGATTCATTCCTGCGCTATGTATTCACATAATGTGCCAGGTGCTGTCCAGGGCTCTGAACCAGGAAGAAAACAAATCCCT